GTGTGTGAAAGTCTCCCTCAGTCTGCCTGTGCAGCACCAGACACCTCCAGCCTGGGCTCTAGTGCTCCACCCTTTTCCAGAGGGACTGGGAAATACTTCCTATCTGGGTCATGTCCTGCACACAAAGATGGAGCCTCTGTCTAGGTGGAGGTTACAGTGACCAAACAACCAGAGATCTTACCCTGTGTCTCAGAACCCAGTTGATGGCCAGATGTTTCCAGCTGCATACTAGTTTGGGAATAAGGGAACAGACAGCCTAGTGAACAGTAATGAGTTGTCACTGCCTTTAAGGAACCAAAAGAGGCTCTTCACTTTTAGCAACATCATCACTTAAAAAGGTCACACAAGGAAAGTCATATGCTATGTGTTCCCACATGTTCTGCCCTAAGAGACTTCCGTGAAAGAAAACTAAGAGGACAATTCTCCACCCTCATCAGTACTGAGATATGAGCCATTCTTGAGCAGCTAGATTTGGGGCCACTCTTAGACTGCATTTGAAGGAACCCATTCCCAGCCAGATGCCTAGAGAGATTAAGGAGAAGCCTTCAATCACGGTCCTTCTCGATTTAGGAGACTAGCATTAGTTTGAGCATCACAGTTGGTTAGTAAGCTCTAGCAAACAGAAAGTCTTACCCACAGGCCATGCCAATGTCATAAGACCCATTTCTTATTCCACCTGCAACAGAAGCATTTCATAACCATCCATCAGAGTTTGTGTGCCCTGGGAGCCACAGAGTCCCTTACCCTGCTTTCTGTTGTCACTGAGCCCAGCTTCAGAGACAGAAGACTCAGAAGTATCTTCAAAACCTTGGAGCTCCTGCACTCCCTGTGTGCTCAAGAGCCCTTGTAGAAGTTCTTACTGCTGGCTTAGCAGCCATTGGGGTTACCCATGCCGGTGGGGGAAGTCGGAGAGGCAGGATGCAGCCAAGCACACAACCCACTCACAACTTACCAGCTATGTTCGCCACTGCCTGCAGCCCAGATGAGCACTGCCTATTGACAGTGGACAAAGGCACAGTCTCTGGGATGCCACTGCAAGAGAATTTTGAGGTGACAGTCAGCCCCCTGCCCTGCCAAGCTTTTATAGAAAGTAGGCCTGTAGTCCAGGGACACCTGACCTCCCACATTAGAAGATGTACACCAAAGGGGTAATCTTCCAGTTCTGCCTCTGTGAGATCTAAGAGTCCAGGGAAGAGAAGCTAGTGGGCAGACCCCATCTCTGCAGGCACTTGTTCCAGAGGCCCCACAAACGCACACCTTCCCATCCTATGATTTTCCTGAAGCCAAGGCAAGGGAAGCCTGTCTGGGATACAGGGATCCTTCCTTCTCTCCCTCTGAAGATTCAACTGTAAAAAACAAACATCTGTTTTCCCCAGAGAAGAGAGAAGTATGCTTGTTGCTGGGACTTCTCTAGCACAGAAGCCATATGTCAAGTATAAGGTCTGCAAAATCCATACCCCGGTCTCACTAGTCATCCCATGGCTGGGTCTTCATGTTCCCACTGGGATAAAGATCTCTGTTGGCCACCACTGTTCTAATACCTCTTGCTCCAGGGCTTTCCAAGCTCTCACACTGGGCCCATCGCTGGAACCTAGTGGGGTCCCCTCCCCAAGCCAGGTAATCTGCCTCTGATGACAGTACAAAGGTCTCGGGACATTTTCAGGCCTCCTTCATGCCGCTCTGGGAATGAATGCGCCCTGGTGGTTCTGGTGTGCAGCCATGTTTGTAAACCTCTGAGCTAGGGACAGAGCCAGACTATGCAGGGACTTTTGCAGGGAGACGTGTGTTGCTAGACCTGTTGAACTCCCAGGTACCCTAATTTTAAAACAACTGATTATTGCTGCTTCATCTAATCCAGCAATATTTTACCAAATACCTACTGAGCAAGGAACACCTCCTGTGAGATGCTGGGGTGTCTAACACTATTGTGCCCTCCATGAAGCCTGACCAACACACAGAAAAGGGATCCCCCAACAGAGACTAAAGCAGCAGGGCCAGATGGCACAGCCATCTCGCAGGGAAGGACGTGGTAGTTTTGGAAAGGAAGGTCTCTCTTTGTAAGCTCTGGATCTGGTAAAAGTCTTGCCCAAATAGTCAGACTGTTCGGGCAGAGTTTACCTAGGGGAGAAAGAGGATGTTAGGACAGCATTCCCAGGGGACAGAATGAGCACTTTGGGGGCATAGCAGGCAGACTGGTTGGAAGAGGAAAAATGAAGGTGGGAAGATGCTAGGAGATGGTGCTAGATGATGATTCTGGAGAGAAGCTGACCCTGAACTGCAGGCTAGGCCTTCTGAAACTTTCAAATTCTAGTGTTTTTGTATCTTTTTCTGTCTTATCGCTGACTAGTCATGTCACTGTTTCTAGACCATGGAGCTCAAAGCATAATGGTAAGTAGGTCTGGTATTTACACATGGAGGTAATTTAAACATGGTTTCCCACCTTGGGAGTGTAGGTGCTGAAGGCCAAGTTGGTCAGGGCTTATGCAGGCCTTCCTCTGTTCCAAGGCCCTGCCCCATGCTCAAGTTTCTCTGTTGGATGGGTCTAGAGTTCCCAGTTTGCTCAATGAGCAAATAAGAAATGTCATTTTCTGGCATGTTTATATGGTCATTTAAACTAATGAATCAGGAGAGTCCGCACTTTTAGAAAGCAAGCAACAAGCTGGCTTTTGTTGAAATCAGCTCATTGAGGACCTTTGCTCCAGTCCTACAGCCCTGTGTATCTTTGCTGAGTGTCTGTTAATATTCCAGCCCCCAAAGTAGGGAAAAGGTTGTGCTCCGAAGTTCAGGGTTCTGAGGATTCTAGTAACCTCAATATTTGATTTCAACCTGATGCTCCACCACCCACCAGCTGAGTTCCTTGGGAATGGGACTCATTCAGGAGTCACAACAGCCAATTTAAGAGTCAGAAATAGATAAATTTACCTTAGAAATTGGGCAATCCGGGCCATGGTGGCCCCAGCCCCAGGCTGAAGCACATTTCCTATGGAAAAAAAAAATCTTTATTCAGTGCCTCATGGTGCTCTGGGCATTATGGTACAGCTGTAAGTATTAGAAAGAAGACATTCCAGATCTTTCTTCAGGAACTTGAGCCTTCCACAGACTCACTTGAGCCACTGGTATGTCAGTGTCTGGAACAAGGGAGCCTGCCACCTAACAGCTTGTTCTGTTACGCAGGAGCCCTAGTGCTGGAGGGTCCCAAGACAGTTTGCCCATGTGCCCTGCTCTTCAAATCAGTAGCTTGCCCTTCAAGGTAGGGCCTTAGACAATTTCAGGCAAAGAGGAATGTATGTGGAGCTCCAATGTAACAGAACTGGTTCTATGGAGGATGGAAATGAGATTCTGAAAATACATACTTTGCAAATGTTCTCTTCAAAGCCTGCCCTGACTCCAGAGAGAAGGGACTGTTATTTCCCACCCAGTAGTTGCATCCACTGGATGTAACCGTGCCTTATGTTATGTTGTTATATTTCAATAGTAGAGGTGTAGGGATGGGAACAGTGTTGGACTGAAAGTCAGGGCCTGGGTTCAAGTCCTAGCTGTTAGGGTACTTTCCCTGGGTCTCGATTTTTCAGTCTTTGAGGGTTGTTCTGATGGTGTTATGTTCCTATCGTGGCATAGGTAGGATGGTAGGGATCCTTGGTCTCCTGCCTCCTACAGTCTTGAAACCCTTGTAGGTATGGGCATTCCTGCTTTCCATCATATTTGACAAGCAGTATGTGCCTGTAGAGGGAACACAACGCGTCTGGTGTTGGGGTTAATTACACTGGTTCTCAGAAGATCACATTCAAAACGGTGGAGTCCATCACAGTAAAAACTGGGGGTCAGTTTCCCTCAGTGAAAACGGGAGTCAGGATGTGTGGAAGGAAGACCTGGACGGACGTGAAGATCGGGAAGGCCCAGCTCAGCGCGCTTACCCACGGAGATGTCTCCCAGCTGTTCCGGACTCAGCTTCACGTCCTGGAGAACAGCACTCAAGACGGCTGACAGAAGCTCATCGGGGGTGGTGTCCTGCAGGGGACCCGCAGCTGCGGTGAACCCCGCTCGCACATCTCCACCCCAAAGCGACAATGCGACTACAGAGCGGGTGCCGATCGCCTCAGATCCCGGGGGAACGAGCAAATGGCCGGAACCCAGCCCGCACAGGGACACCTTCTCATGCCCAGAGCTCTCCCCGAGGGGCCTCACCTTGAAGCCGCCGCGGCCAGCTCGGCCGATGGCCGTGCGTCGTCCGTGCACCACCACCACGTCCGCCGCTGCAGCCTGCGGGAAGCCGCCGAGGCACTGCGCAGCCTGCAGCGCGGGGCCGGACTCGGGCCGGCCGGTAAGGTGGCCCAGCACAACTTGCAGCCTCCACATGGTGCGGCTGTCTTTGTGGACCAATCTTGGGTCCGGGACCAGACCTGGGGAGGTTAAAAAGGGTCTCCAGCGGAAGCGCTGAATGGCCATACAAGGGTCCCGCCCCCCCGGCTGAAGCCAATCAGGAGGAGATATGTAAAGGACACGCCCCTTCAGCAGCTCCGCCCTCCAAATCCCCCTCATCACGTCTTTCCCCCAAGCCCCGCCCACCCAGGCGTTCCAGGCTCAGTCAGGGGTTGCCAGCCTGAAGCACCGCCCCGGAATGCTGTTTGGAGACTTTGCACCGTTCTCAGCCTTCGGAGCTAAGCTGGAGACAGGACTCTAAAAGTGGTGTTGATTTCTCTAAATGAACCCGGCACAACCGGGAACGGCTGCTCCAAAGTCCTGTCCACCGCAGCTGTCAAACTGAAGCCAGGGCCACCAGGATCCTTGCCCACCGATTCCTGCAGTGGACGGAGTAGGAGATCAGACTCCTGATTCCTGTTTCCCTTCCTAATGGGTTAGGCAGTGCCTGCCTTCCCAGCATCCACCCCGAGGATCTAAATACATTTTCATGATCCTCAATCCTTCTCCCATCTACTAGTGCTGTCCCAGGAATTCTTTTCACTTAAGCCATTTGGGATCCATGGATGCACAGAGAACAGATTTTACAAAGGTGCCACACTGAGACAAGCTCTCTAATTGGAGAAAGAACATCTCATCTTTCTTATACTAATTTTACACTCCTTTGGGAAGGATAGATTAGACCCCCGCATACACTTCCTACCCCGTGGGAGGGCTGTCCACCGAGGCAGGGGACCGTGAATGTCATTCACAGGTGAATAATAGATATCTGCTCAATGAATGAACGAACTAGGTCTGGCCTGTGTCCCCAAACCTAAAGAGCAAGGCCAAGTGTCCCCTGCCTGCCAATGACAGGGCCATGTGATTATCTGAGATCTGGGAGAGTAGTGTTAGGTTTATGGCAGACACCAAAGCACAGGGTGCCCTGCAAATCCCAATCCTATGGAGTAGGCAGGGCCACCATGTGCTCAGACTTCCGAACACAACGTGCCATTTGACATTGCCACCTCAGAGCGCATGGATGTCTCTCCCCTGTTCTCCTCCTGGCAGGATTGTGTACTCCATGGATAGCCAGGAGGGAAGATCTGCTGCCTTCTACCTTGTCCCCTCCCCATCTGGTGCCTTCTACCTTGTCTCCCCCTAAGGCAGGGCCATATGAACCCTGTAATCCCCAATGGAAGGAATGTGATTTCATCAAAAAGCAAGCTTGTGGTTTCCTACAACTCCTGAAGCAGGGTTGTAGGACACCCTGACCTCGACCCTCAAGTGTGTGTAGATTGGGTTTCAACATCCAACCAACTGGAGAGAGAACAAGGGTTGAAAAAAAAAAACAAATAAACCTAGGGCTGGGGATATAGCTCAGTGGCATAAGTGCCTGCCTGGCAAGCGCAAGGTCCTGAGTTTGATTACCGGTATTAAAAAAAAAAAAAAAGAGAACAGGGGCTGGACCCCCTACTATTATGAGATTATTGTATCTGCCTGGGCTAGTGATCTGCATTATGTCTTTGTTGTGTGTGGAGTCCTAGTTCTTAGATATTCTTCAAGAAGATTTGTGAGATCCCTGGAAAGAAATTCAGTTAAAAGTTGTGGGTTTAGCAAACCAGTTCATTGGTAAACAAGCAGAATATAACTTTCAGCAAGTACATCTTAAAGGACAGTACACTTCTAAGCAGGAAAAGCGGGCAATACTACTTTGGCACGGGGGCCTCGTTGCCATCTCACATCCCCTTCCTCCTCTTCAGAGGGCAGATAGGGAAGTGAAGTGAATGTTACCAGGATATTCAACCTTGAGTCTGATTCTCTAATGGGCCCCTGTGAAGTTAAGATTGGTTCTCAATTTAGCTAGTGGATTAGCAAAGCACACTTTGCTAATCAGGGGTACGCCTGTGTAGGGCATGGGCGAGTGACTTTGAGGTCGATATCTGTTTCCTGACCCCTCTCTTTCAGCTGTGTTCTATTTCCCTGCTGTCCTGAACTAAGCAGATTTGCTCCACCGTGTCTTTCCACCATGATGTTTCTGCCTTGGGGCCAGCCAATCATGGACTGAATCCTTTGAAATCGTGAGCCAAATTAACCCTCTTCTCCATTGGGCTGTAGATGTCAGGTATTATGTTCTAGCAATGAAAAGCTGATCAATACAGCCTCCCTCTCATTGCATCTTTGACTCCTCCCAGTCTTTGCCCTCACCTCCAGTAGTGACAAGTCCAAAAGAGCCAGCCTGAGCAGCCAGGGCTGCTTTCCATTTCTCCTTATGTGGGCACACCTCATGCTGTCAGGGCTGGGATGGCAGCCTGTTTTCTGGCATATCCATCAAAACTGGGCTCTGGGGCAAGGTCACCAGGGTGATGTCAGCAGGAAACTTCCTCTCAGGGCCACCCACACAGAACTAACTTGATTACCTTCTTTGCTGACCAACAGTGACCACAGAAGAACATCTTGCCTCAAAAGTTGTGGGGATGTGACCACATGCCATTTTGCTCACCCAGACATGTATAAACATACACACCACACACACACACACACACACACACACACACACACACACACATACAGAAGCACCTGAATATAGGTGTAGCTCTCAGGATCATGTGGGTGGGAAAGTCCCACCATCCAGGGACCCTGATAGTCTTTCCAGAAAATAAAGGAGCATCTTGATTCTTTTTTCTCTTTCCCCTAATCATTGAAATCAAACGCTGGAGAGTCTCCCATCTGTCAGCATTTATACCTTCAATGAAGTGCAGTTGGAGGAGGAGGAAGCCCACTTGGACTTGCACAGCAGGTTTTTCTCTCTCCTCAGGCAGTCTTCAGATTCCCCTAAGCTGTCCATCAGTGAGAAAATGTCATGGTCCTAGGTCTTCACCCCAGGTAGATTCCAGGACCTAAATCCAATAGAAAGTGGGTCCCTTTTCTGCTTTGCCTTTGGCCAGGATGGAACAAGGTGTTTTCCTTCCACGTCTTGGGAAGGAATGGAACCCATCCTCTGCACGATCGTGATGCAGTCCTTAAATACTATGCATCTGGTCCTCTTTGATATTGGCCATTTAAAGTAATTTGGAGAATGTTTTATGTACTTTGTGAGAATTTCAAAGACATCAGAAGAATGTCCATGTTTATGATTTGTCTTCATGCATCATAGGTTTATAATAAAGTCCATTCTATTTTGAGAGAGAGAGAGAGAGAGAGAGAGAGAGAGAGAGAGAGAGAGAGAGAGAGAGAGAGAGAGAGAGAGTGTAAGGGCTTTGGATGAGTAAGGTAGAATATGACTTTCCCAGGTAAGGGAGGCTGGCCAGTTGGGGGCTTGAGGTGGGCCTGGCAAGGGTTTCCAGAGAGCAGTTCTCCATCTTAGTGGTGCAGGCTTCAGCAGGGCACCAGGAAGAACCAGGAGCACTGTCCTCAGCTCCTCCTTCTTGCCCTTAGGCTGGGACTTCTCTGGATTGTGCTATGCCCTGGGTTCTGGCTTTTCCAGTGGCCATGGGGTGCTCTTCTAAATTCTGAGAGGTCTGGAGGACCCTGCTGCAGTCACACACCCCTTGAGGACTCAGCTATGTCCCTGATGTCTGTGCATATCTGTGCCAATCCAATGTTTCTGGTATATTTTAAGGAAATTGTTGATTTTTCCCTGTTTACTCTTGAAAATTTGAAAGCTACAAACAAAATCCCCCACCCATAATTCTAACCTTAGAAATAAATATCCAAGGACACTTAAGAGTGCTCGTTTATCAGTGACTGCTGGGTTTTGCACCATTGCTGCAGTTGGCACCCTGCCCTGGCTCCTGGGTCACTTGACTGCTGTGGGCTTCCATTCCTGGTTACTGGCTCTCAGTGATGTCTAGAGAGATTATATACTCAGGAAAGCCCTAAAGAAAGGTTTTTCTCTTCAGCATGCCCTGGGGGAGCACAGGCACAGTGTGATCCTGGAGGTACATTTGGTGCTGTCCATGGTTAGAGCACAGTGCTAGGTGTGCATCCATAGGGAAGATTCACTGCTGGCATTATCAAGGCAAAGGAGGAAACTTTGGAAGGGGAGCCATGTGTAAAACTGAGGCCAAATGAGGTGTGATTGCTGAAGAAATTAGTGCAATTAAAAAGAAACCAAATATTTTGAAATGGGCAAGGAAGTGTCTTGAAACGCACTTCTGGAGTCAACAAGACATTCCCTGTCCCCATGCAATCTCAAGGGTGCAAAAAAGGTAAGTCTTTCATTTGAGAAGAAAGTTCCTAGTCCCCAGGAAGTGTAGGGAATTGTTTCCCAAGGATTCATTCATCATGATCAGACGTCCAGTCTCTCAGAGACCATTGTAGCCACCATCTAAGGGGATCAAGCTACTGCCTGACCTGGTGGCAGACCTTAGCATTGCCCACATGGTACTGATTTTTCAGGCATGAAGAATGTAAGATTTGTAGAGTTATGGAGGCTTCTACTCAGATTTCAAAGGAAGTGCTGGGAGACCAGGCATTGTGTTACAAGATCATAGTCCTGTTGGGAGCCCCTGAAAGTGTAATGCTGTGGGAGTGGAGCAGAAGCTGTAGTGGACACCCTAGGAAGTTGGAGATACCAGAATGGGAAATATTTGTGGAGGAAAGCTTCAGACAGTGAGAAAGCCAACTTAAAAAAATGTCATTTGGGTTGCATCCAGCAAGGCCATGGGATGGGGCTGTCCCAGCCCTTTGGAGCTTCCATCTCACTACCATGTGACCTAGATGCTAGACATGGAACTACAAGGCTTAATGTTGGTTTTACTGGGATTGTTCTTGCTGTGGTGTGATTCCTTTCTATTCCCCTATCCTTTCCTGGGAATGTTTTTGTGTACCATTGTGCATGTACTTGCTTCTTGATTTTTATAGGGACTCACAAGTAAGAGTTTTCCTTGAGTCTCAGAGGAAGCTTTGGACTTGGATTTTTGAGCAATACTGAAACTATTGTCATTGAGGAAGAAGGGATTAGTGTAATTTTTGGTGTAGGCAGGATAGTCATATCAT